GGGTGTCAAGTACGAGGAATTGTATGACTGTTGCGTCCGGCTATTCCGAATGTGGCCCGGGAATGGCGTTCTGGGAGGTCAAGGAGCACCAAGTGTGTGACTGTTGCATCCGGTTATTCAGAATGTGGCCTGGGAATGGGGTTCTGAGAGGTCGACGAGCACGAAGTGTGTGACTGTTGGTGAAAAACGAGCCCGGCACAGGCCCGGCCGGCAACTCCCAACGCCTGCCCGGACCCCCCTGTGGAGTGATCTGTGAGCTCTTTTGAGTCAACTAGAAACCTATCAGTCTACGCTGTTAGGTAAAAACGTACATTTTTAACAAAGTCGCCTTTTGGGCTTTCCGACGTTACAGGACGGCCCAAGAGGCGCCCAAGACCGCCCCAAGACGGCCCAAGAAGTTTCCCAGAGGGCCCCAGGACAGCCCAAGAGGGCCCCAAGACGGCCCAAGAGGCGCCCAAGATGGCCCAAGAGGGCCCCAAGACGGGCCCAAGAGGGGGCCCAGAGGGGGACCACGAACCGCAAGCTCGAGCCTTCCGCCCCAAGAGGCCGCCAGGAGGCCCCCAGGAGGCCCCTCAAGAGGCCCCAGGAGACCCCAGACGTCCAAGGACGCCCCCAAGAGGCCCCAAGAAGCCTCCAACATGCGTCCCAAGAGGGCCCCTAGACGCAAAAATTGGCCCATTCCCTTTGTAAAACGTACATGTTCAACAAAGTTGTCTTTTGGGTTTTCCGACGTTACAGGACGGCCCAAGAGGCGCCCAAGACCGCCCCAAGACGGCCCAAGAAGCTTCCAAGAGGGCCCCAGGACAGCCCAAGAGGGCCCCAAGACGGCCCAAGAGGCGCCCAAGATGGCCCAAGAGGGCCCCAAGACGGGCCCAAGAGGGGGCCCAGAGGGGGACCACGAACCGCAAGCTCGAGCCTTCCGCCCCAAGAGGCCGCCAGGAGGCCCCCAGGAGGCCCCTCAAGAGGCCCCAGGAGACCCCAGACGTCCAAGGACGCCCCCAAGACGCTTCGCGTCACCAATTTCTTCTCGCAACGATTCCTGGGTCTGTGACTCGACAGAACCTAAGCGCGCGCGAAGCGCGCGCGTGGTTCTAGTAATCATATATGATTATGACCACATGCCCATCTTAAATATGAAATCGCAATGTCCCAGGCCAACCGGGTTCACCCCCCTGGAGGTCCCTTCGTAAACAAACACTCTGCGGTGACATATTTGTTCGAACATTGCACTTTTTCACGGATCCCTTGCAAAACATGTGACGAAGTGCACACGCACGCGTCGTCGCGCGCGCATGCCGAAATCCTTCAAAAACCTTCGGTGCCAGACGGATTTCGCAATCGAGTTTCCAAACAAACCATGCAACAACACATGGTTTCGCAACACTGATTTGCCAAAAAACTTCCGCGAAAGTTCTGGCGAACTTTTTTATACAGAAAACACGATTTCCACAACATATTATTAAACTGGCTTCGCGCGCGCATTTCCAAATATGTCGAACGCCCTTGCGCGTGTGCCGTCGCGAGAATCCTTTGCAAAAAACGGGACGAAGTGCAGACGCGCGCGTCGTCGCGCGCGTATGCCGAAAACCTTCAAAACCCATCGGTTTCGGAAGGATTTCAAAATCGTGTGCCCAAAAAACCTACAAAGACACAAGGTTTCGCAACACGGATTTTCAACAAAGGCGTGCGCGCGCGCTCTTGCGTCGTCGTCGTCGTCGTCGCCGTCCTCCCTCCTCCCGCGTCGTCGTCGTCGTCGTCGCCTACGTCGTCCTCTGTCGTTCTTCGTGTTCGTCGTCGTCGTCCTCTTTGGCGTCGTGGTCGTTTCCGTCGTCGTTGTCGCCGTGGTCGTCCTTCCTCCTCCTCCCTCGTCGTCGTCGTCGTCCGTCGTCGGCATCTCGTCGTCGTCCCTCCTATTTCGTCGCCGTCGTCGTCGTCGTCGTCGTTGTCGTCGTCGTCTTCCCTCCTCCCTCGTTGTTGTCGTCGTGGGCGTCGCCTTCCTTCCTCCTTTTTCGTCGTTCGCGTCGTCGCCGTCCTCCCTCGTCGTTGTCGTCGTTGTCGTCGTTGTCGTCGTTGTCGCTGTCGTCGTCCTCCCTCCTCCCTCGTCGTCGTCTTCGTTGGCGTCGTCGTCGTCGTCGTTGTCTTCGTCGTCGTCGTCGTCCGTCGTCGGCGTTGTCGTCGTCGTCATCATCGTCGTCGTCGGCGTCGTCGTCGGTGTCGTCGTCGTCGTTGTCGTCGTCGAAGTCGTTGGAGACGTCGTCGGTGTCGTCGTAGTCGGTGTCGGCGGCGCCGTTGTCGTCGTTGTCGCTGTCGTCGTCGTCGGTGTCGTGGCCAAGTGCCATGTGGTACCTACCGTCACGGTCTTGTCTTAAGTTGTCTTGCGACCAAGTTGCGGGTGGGAGGGTGGGATGTTTGCACGAGCAGCGGAGAGGACAGCTTCAAGACGGTCAAAGTGGGTTGCACCACATAGATTGTCCCAGATCTATTGCAATATACGCGTAGGTAGCACCGCATAGTCAGCCGTTGAAAAGACAGCGTTCGAGGTCCACGCGGGCTAAACAGTTTTAGGCTTGCTAATAGGTTGATGATCCCCTAGTGAGCATTGTTCACCAAGGGCTCCCTGTAGGAAGTCTGCATTACGTGTCTTATGTTCTGGGTCATGTGAAAGCTTATTCGCACGGGGATGACGCGGCATGCGAGGTTTCGGCGCTCGCAGCCACGGGGTCCGGCAGCACTTTTCTCAACGAAGCAGGAAAAACAATGAATTCACGTCGCGAGTGGACGGTGCGATGCGACGCGGCCCCTCCTCTCCTTCCCACACGGGCGTCAGAAACCCAGCGCGCCTCCTAGGGGGGGCGACGGGGGACCGCGCCCCTGTGGAAGAGATTCACATAGCCGGCGTTCCTTGTTGTCATCGTCGTCGTCGCCCGCGACCTACCCGCACCCCTTTGGCGACCATTTGACGCCTGCGGCGGGCTCGGCGCGCCATGCGTTGAAAGATCCACGGTCGGGGCGGACTGTTTCAAAACCCAAAGCCTCGCAAATAGCCGATAACCCCGCAGCCCCCTCATTCTTATCCGCCACTCCCTGGTGATACCGTAACTTATTTTTGGCACGTATGTTGCATAGGATGGTGATGGCTGGGTTGGATGGATAGCATCGACAGGTAGAGGGTTGGGTCGTGTGCATGTGTTATGGATGGTGGGTGTTTACATAGGATGGTGAGGATGGGGCCGTATGAATGTGAGTTGAGGTGTACTTTGGCATAGGATGTGTCGGATGGACGTGATCCGAATGATTGTCGTTTGCGTAAGTTGGGTCGCATGGACTCGCGAGGCGTTAAGAGGAACATCGCGTGTTGAAAAGGAGCCAGCCTCCACACATGAAGCCGTTGCAAGTGTTTAAGATTGAATGCGCGCAGCGCTAAGGCGAGAACCACATGTTGAAAACCCTCGGGGCCATCCCTGACACGGCTGCAAATTTCAAGTTTCGGGATCAGCATTGGCGAGGAAATCTGAGGCAAAACCCCCGGCCTGGCCCACGGACGCGTTTCGTGGTGCGACAGGGAGAAGTTCTATAAAGAAAGAGATGGAGAGGAGGAGGGGAGGAGTGAGGAGCAGGGGGAGGGAGAACAAGCGGAGAGAGCCAACCAAACCCAAGCGAAAGGACAGCATGGATTTGGAGGAGAGTCGTAGATGGTTTGTACAGGGATTCAAACGGTACCTCTGTTTGGGGGGTCCATGTGGTTCCTAAGGATGGAGGAGGAGGAATAATGAGACGTGTCTCCGCTGATTTACCGTGCACTGAAGCGTGCACAAGACCACCGAGCGGACAGCACGAGAACCAGGGGAAGCCAAAGACACATCAACGGCGCTTTAGCACCCCCTGTAAGTTCAAGTCCCATCGTCATAACTTTCTTCCATTGCGAAGAATGCCGTTTTGAAAGACTGGCGCCCTATGGACCCACCATTTCGGTTGAATCCCCGCTAGGAAACTATTTTGTTTTGGAAGATAACTTCCCTCCCCACGTGACCATGTTGCACGAACGACGAATTCCACGACGGCGACGATGACAACGACGTCGACGACGGACGCCGACGACAGTGGACGACGGACGACGGCGACGACGACGGACGCCGAACACCGACGACGACGACGAACGAGAACGAACGGAGACGACGCGCGACGACGACGGATGATGGTTTCGACGACGACGACGACAACGACGACAGCAGAAGACGACGACCTCTCGACGGCGACGTCTTTTCGAAGGTGGACCTCCAAACCTCATCCAGCGTGTCAGGGCCCCGAAGCTGATTCAGCCGTGGAGATGAGGATGACCAGAAAAAAAGGATGCAACATACATCATCGAACATCGATCGCCCGTCCTCGAAGCTCGCTCCTCGATTCGGCCGTGCGCCGAGGGAGGAAGCGAGAGGGGGCAGGCCTTCTCAGAAGACGGTGGGGCTCCTCGCAAATACACTGGCATCATGAGAAGCCCTTTCTGGCTTCGGAGATGGCTTACAGAGACAACCTCTCCGAAGGCCAGATGTTTTCTGAGCCTTCCGAGAAGGCCCGCCCCTTTCCGGGGGGGGGAGGAGGAGGAGGAGGAGGAGGAGGAGGAGGAGGAGGAGGAGGAGGAGGAGGAGGAGGAGGAGGAGGAGGAGGACGACGACGACGAGGAGGACGAGGACGAGGACGAGGACGAGGACGAGGACGAGGACGAGGAGGAGGAGGAGGAGGACGAGGACGAGGACGAGGACGATCACGAGGACGAGAACGAGGAGGACGAGGAGGAGGAGGAGGAGGACGAGGACGAGGAGGACGAGGTGGAGGAGGAGGAGGAAGAAGAGGAGGTGGAGGAGGAGGAGAAGGCGGAGGAGGAGTAGGAAGACGAGAAAGAGGAAGACGAGGACGAGGAGGAAGGAATGAGGAAGAGGAGGAGGAGGCCTCCTCCTCCCAGGCGCGCCTCCGAGTCGATCGCTCGTCCTCGAACCTCGCAGGCGCCGCTGCCCTCGTGGCGCTGCAGCTGGCGCCCGCCTTCGTGCCGGCGCCGCGGGCCTCGCCCGCGCGCGAGGGCGCGATCGCGGCCGGGGTTATCGCCGCCGGCTACCTGAACGCGATGCCGGCCCTCTCTCCTACCTCCGCCCTCCCCCCTCTCCTCCCTCTCCTCCCTCTCCTCCGTCTCCTCTTTGCCCTCCTCCCCCTCCTCCTCCTCCGCCTCATCATCCTAAGTCGTTCTCCGAACAGGGTTGCTCCTTGGGAAGCGTCGCTGGCCGCCCGTCTGCGATCTTCCGTTGACGTTTCGCTCAAGCTTTTTCCCACGGGGCATGGTGCCCCCGTGGGCGGTCGGAGCCCTCACCCAGCTGTCGCATGGCGTGGCCTCCTGGTTGAGTCGGGCGCCGCCGCCGCCGCCGTGCCCGGCGCTGGAGTGCCCAGACTGCCACTGCGCCTGTCCCGCGGTCCCGCCCTGCCCGGCCTGCCCAGGGGCGCCGGCTCCCCAGTGCCCGCAGCAGGAGCGGGGGCGCGCCTCCGCGGCGCCCGCAGCCCCGACGGTGGCGGCGGCCTGGGGGACGACAGTGGCGTCGCTCGTGATCGGCATCGCGCTCGGCGACGTCGGGAGGTGGAGCGATGGCTGCTGCTGCCGCCGACGCCGTGCCCGCATTGGAAGGGGTGGACCAGGTGGCGTACCTCCTGTATGCGGTGCCGGGAGCTCCCCTGTGGCACCAGCGCTGGAACTTGGGTCGGGTGGTGTCCTGTCCGAGTGACGCGATCCTAGTCTCGCCAGACCACCAGGTGCAGTGCGAGGTAGTGGACGGGACGTCGCCCGACATCAGCGCGGTGCGGTGGGCGCCCGCCCTCGCCCCCAGGCCGCCGGGCGTCGTGCGGGCCTACCGCTTCGCGAGCGCCCCGACTGCGGCGGAGGTGGCAGCCTGGCTCCCCGAGGCCCAGGCCGAGGCTCGGCGCTGCTTCGCTCGGCGCCACCCGGGCGTGGCCGTGCCGGCGCCCGTCTTCGAGGCGTGGCCCTGGGCTGCGCCGGGGGCGCCGGCTGCCGCCGCCGGGCCCGCCCCTCCCGCGGGGGCCCCCGCCGCTGGGCCGCCGGGCGGAGGATGGGTCGTGGTGCCGGCGGGGGGCCCGCCGCCCGCCGCGGCGCCCGTCGCCCCGGCACCCGCGCCCCTGCCGGGCGGGGTGATGCGCCGAGGAGGTGCGGCCGCGGGGGCTGCGCCGGCCGCGGGCGGCGGGGAGGCGGGCGGAGCGCCGGCGCCCGCGGGAGCGGCGCTCGCGGCGGCCGTGGTCGGGGGGGCCCGACCCCTGGTGCTGGCGGGTGGCGCTGGCGACGCCGCCCCCGCCCCCGTGGGGAACTGGCGCGTCGCCCAGGAGTGGAGGGGGTACCACTACGGCGATGTGATCATCCCTCCAGCGGGCTTCGCTGGGGCGGGCACCCCCGCCCGCGGAGTCGTCTTGCTCGCAGACGGGTCGTCTCTCTTCGTCGAGTGGGTGGCCATCGGTGACGAGTCGGACTTCGCCGACCGGGCGGTGGCGCCCGACTGTCGCCTACTGCCGGTCCGCCTCGATCGCGCTGGCAGGCCCTTCCGAACGCTCGAGAACCTCGTCGAGAGCTGCCGCCAGGAGCACCTCCCCGACTTCATCGCGCCGAGGACGACCATGTGGTGCCTCGAGCACCTCGCGGGCGAGGGCCGCTCTCTCGAGTCCCACTTCGAGCACTTCAAGAAGCTGTGCGGGCTCCAGGACTCCCAGTGGGGCATGGAGGAGTATGCCAGTGTGATCAGCTACCTGAAGGCGTTGCTCCAGCACGATCAGGTGGACGCGTCCAACATCCTTTCGGTGGAGATGATGTTCCGTCGGCTCCAGACGATCGAGTACTGCTACAGCGACAAGTTGCGCGAGAGGACAGCGGGCTCCTCCGCGGGGAGGCTCACCGCCGACGAGCAGGCCGCCTTCGGGGCGACGGCCCGGGCCGAGTCGAGGCTCATGGTGTCGCCCGCGCTGCTCGAGAGCGCCAAGCAGGAGCTGGAGCGGGACGCGTCGCTGGCCAAGAGCCTCCTGAAGGCGCGCGAGGCTCGGGAGTCGCTGGGCAAGCGGAGGCAGGGCCAGGGGAAGGACCAGGGGTGATGCCCGACCGCCCCCCCCAGACGTCCCTCAGGTCTGGTGGGGGGGATCCTGACATGACTGGGGATGCTCGGCACGCCGTCGCGCCGCCGGGGAATTTTGACAGGAACGTGGGGAGGGATCTGCTACCTTTCCCCACGGAGCTGCTCAACTCGCCGGAGCCACCAGCACCTGGGCTCTCGCGAGTTTGCCGACAGAGAGTCGGCCGTCGGCAGCGTCGCCACGCCGACGTTCTTCGGTGCTTAGAAGGTCTCAACACGATATATGGCCGCCGTGAAGGGGTACCTGTGCCTGCTGATCTGAGCCTCGGGCAGCAGCGCATGCTCGAGCACGTTGAGTCTTCCGTCTCTTTCCTGGGGCCTCCCCCAGATGATCTTTCGCAGGCGGCAGCCCTCCAGGCGCTGCGCCTCGGCCTCCCCTATGACGCTGGGGGAGGCCCTGTGGGCTACGAAGCCTCCCGCGTGTCCCTCCCGGCGGCTGGGTCGGTTCCGACTCCGCTCGCTCGGCTTTGGGGATCCGGCGGGGAAAGTACTGTTGCGCGCTTTGCTGAGTCGCAAGTTTTGCCCATCGACGTGGCACGAATGAGGTTAAAGGACTCGGGGCCCCTGCGACCCTATGGGGACCCTCGCCTCCACTCTCCCTCTTTGTACGGCGAATTCGTTCAGCGGTTGGTCGAGGCTGGCGTAGCCGAGCTGACGCTTGAGCGACCTACCGAGGTGGTGGATTGCTTCTTTGTAAAAAAGGGGGGCGGCAAGCAGCGGCTGGTCGTCGACTGTCGGCGGTCTAATCAGCATTTCGAGCCGCCTGCCCCTGTCAGCCTTGTCTCTGGCGACACTCTCTCCCAGGTGCATGGCGACGACTCCCTCGATCAGCCCGTGTTTATTGGGCAAGTCGATATAAAAGACGCTTTCTATCACATGGAGCTCCCAGAGGGGCTCCGCCAGTACTTCGGGCTGCGAAGAATTCGGGCCTCGTGGGCGGACATCTCTCAAGTCCAGGGGGTCCGTGTGTCCCCGGGGACCTGGGTCACCCCTCGGATGCGTGCCTTGCCCATGGGGTGGTCCTGGGCCCTATGGTGGTGCCAGGCGATCCACGAGCGGGCTGCCGAGGAGGGAGGATCCCCTGCTGCAGCCCGCCTCGCGGACGGCTCCCCTCCGCCTCCCCTCGCCTCCTCCCCTCACGCACAATACGTAGACAACTATGTGGTGATTTCAACGAGCGAGGCTGTTGTTCGCGAACGCTTGGCAGGAGTGTTCCGGGCCCTCGAGTCTCGGGGGCTGCCGCTGCATAAAGAGTCTGTCTCTTGCGATCGGGCCATCGTGCTGGGGTGGGAGATCGATTGCCTTCGGCGCACCTTCCGCCCGACCCCCGAGCGTGTCTGGAAGGCTCGTCTCGCCATTCGGGGTCTTTTAGCACGGGCCTCGGTCTCTGGAGGGGACTTGGAGCGCCTTTTGGGCCATCTGTGCTTCATCGGCCTGTGTAGGCGAGAGTCGCTCAGCGTGTTCAAATATTGCTACAGGTTCTGTGAGGCCGCGCGGAGAGGCCCAGCCCGGGGGCCTCGGGCCCTCTGGGCCTCGGCCAGAAAGGAGCTCGACGTCTGGGACCGTATCGCCCCGCTCATCTGGGTCAACACCTCTGCGGGTACCTGTCCAGACGTCGTCGTGGTGGACGCGTCGCCGTGGGGCCTGGGGGCCGTTCGGGGGCGACCGCCGGTGGCCCTGGTCAAGGAGGCCTGCCGTCACTCGGAGCGTGCTGGGGCTCGGGAGGCGGCCCGGGAAGGGCGGCCTCCCCGCGAGCGCGCCTTCGCCGCGGCCGCTGCGCAGCTGCACGGGGGTGAGGGGGAGGCCGACAGGCGGATCCTGATGGAGCTCGTGCGGCCCCAGTCTCGACACCACCGTCCCGAAAGCGAGTTCGACCGCCGGCACACGAAGGCGTTCGAGGACGCCCCCCTGGACCTCTTGAGGGCTCCCTGGAGGGTGTGCGGGAGGCAGAGGTGGAAACGGGCCTCGACGTCTATGCCGGCCCTGGAAGCGGAGGCGCTTTTGCACGGGGTGCGCCACCTCCTGAGGTCCGTCGCCAACTTGGGCTCGAGGCTGCTCGTGATTGGGGACTCGATCTCGGCCTCCCTGGCCGCCACGAAGGGACGGTCGTCTTGCGATGGCATGCTCTCGGTGACCCGCCGGCTGGGCGCCCTGCTGCTGGGGACCGGCAGCCTCCTGCGGTCGCGCTGGATCGCGTCGGAGCTCAACCCTGCAGACGGACCCTCGCGCGGCCGGCCGGCGCCGAGCGACCCGCTTGCCGGCCTGCGGCGCGAACTCGCGACCGCCGCCGGCGAGGGTCGCAATGCTGGCGCGCGGCAGGTCCGACAGATCGAGGACCCCCGCGGGCCGCCAGCCGCCGCCGCCCAGTGCGGGGTCGGCCTCCCGCCCGGCCTTGGCCCCCCTGGAGACTGGGGGCCTGCGGGCGGCTGCGGCGCGGGCGCGGGTGGAGCGCGCTGCCAGGCTGGCGGCGGCGCGGGCCCCGCAGGCCCAGATGAGCCTGCTCCGGAGGGCCTCGGTGTCGGCGAAGACGCAGGCCCAGTACTCCCTCTACCTGGCCGCCCTGCAGAGGTTCTGCGACTCCCGCGGGGACCACCCGAACACCGAGGAGGAGTGGGACATCGCCACCGCGGGCCTGATGGAGATCATGTTCATGGAGGGCGGCTCGCTGAGCGCGGGCGAGAAGCTCTTGGCGTCGGTGCAGTGGGCCGAGCCGCGCCTGGGCAGGCTGGGGGGCGGGCGGATGCCCGTCTGTCGACAGTGTCTGCGAGGCTGGCGCCGAGCTGCCCCAGCAGGGGGCCGCTTGCCCCTGCCCTACGACGTGGTGGCGCTGCTGGCGTGCTGGATGATCTGCCAGGGGCGGAGACCCCACGCGCTGGCCATTCTCATGATGATGGAGATGGACTTGCGGCCAGGAGAGCCGTTCCTGCTACGGGGCCGCGACGTAGCGGCGGGGTCC